ATACTGTGGTAATAAATAGAGTCGTCTGTCTGGGTGACCTGTGGTTCTGTGGACTTTAAAGGGTCCAGAGCTGGAGGTGCCCGTGGTGTTGCTTGTGGAGGCTCTGCTGGAGTTGCACTGTCCCGAGGCCATCCAGGGCTTGGCAAGTTGGAGTGCCTCAACTTCAGGCAAGAGTATGGGCTGGTTGTCATCGGTGGCGCTGCAGGCTGAGGGACGGTAAGGACCGGCACGCTAACCAATTATCCTCATGGTTCACACTCATGTAGTTTCATTGCTGTAATCAACTGTGCATGTTTGTATGTGCAGGTTTGAGAAAGCAGCCCAGGAGTATCAAGACCAACTGTCTGCAGTCACAGGGATGGACTGCAGCATCAAAGGCTCCGACTCCTTCATGCTCAAACTGTCCAGCAACACAAGCAGTCCAAAACACTGTAGCAATGGTAACTATCCATGTCCCCTTAGATCGCAGCATGTTCATTTGTTCAGCTAGCTTTCTGTTCCTGTAGCACAGCTGTGAGGCACGCTGCAGGTCGGCTGTGGATCACCTGACTCTTAATGTGTGTTTTCTGATGCTTTCTTTGTTTTTCCATCTTTCCTTTAAGTTTCACTGATGCTACGATGCTTGGTGTCATTTCAACAGGTGACAGCAGGAAGACGGTGTTACTGAAGTCGAACGAGTGCTCTCCAGAGGTGCTGAACTTCCTGGCCAACAAAGCCTGTCAGTGTTATGTGGCACTTTGTGACTGGGCTTCTGTTAAGGAGTGGCAGGCCACTGTCAGCACCCTCAAACAGAACTCCACCAATCCAGTCAGCATCAACCTGAAGACAGATTTCAATTACATCCATGCTTTGAGTCACTTTGAGGAGGGCGATCTAGCAGAATGTGGGCTTCAACTGGAGCTGCTGCCTGGAGAGGATTACACCGCTCTGTCTGGCAGTAAGGACAAACTTGGTAAGTGTCCTTACACCACGAGTCTTAACACACGTCTGGATCGTGGCTGAGTTGTGCGTTTGCAGTAAAACTGGTACAATGTATTTTTCCCAGAGTGTAATGTAGGATTTTAAAGTAATACCACAGGTATCTGCTAAAAGGCTCGGGACATTTTGAATCTGTGACCTTGACCTCAAGCTCAGCTTTTCTGAAAGTCAGATTTCTACCATGGGATCCATCTGCTGGTGGCTGCTGGTATTTCTAACTCTCTCTTTGTGCTCACATGTAGATCTGAAAAGGCTCCTGCCCTCAATGAGTCCAGATCCGACCGAGCTGCAGAGAGCTATCGAGGTGCAGCTCCTTCGCAGCGCCGTAAGTGCAATGACCAAAGTCAGCGAGCAGCAGGATCAGAGAGCAGCACCGAACTCAGAGTGAGTTTATTTTTATGGGTCAATCATTGTCAGATGCCTTACCATCTCTGATTTCAGGGGGGGGAAACCCATTAGGGTAATGAAACCCTTCTTAATAGGAAAACTGCCACATTTTAGCTTTGCATTGTTCAGTTTGCTCAAAGTATTTTTGTGATGAAGTCGGGCGTTTCAAGCCTTTCCTGACCATCTGACGGCTGTATCTGGAGAACTAAATAAGCTTTTAATCCCACAGTGAAATGAAGTCACAGCAGCAAACACACAACAGACAACCGAGCAGCCACATAAGACAAAGCATAGAAACAGAGAGATAAAGAGATGATTATTGAGATGTAAATACAAACCTAAATATTATTATAAAGGGACACACGTGTTACACTGTTTCTGGGATGTTATCAGTGTGCAGGCATACGTTGTTTTCTATATACAAGAAGTGCAGTGATCGAATCCCAGATTGTAGCCAGAACATTTTCTTTTTGTTAATTGTAGTGGCAACCAAACTCCAGCCAAACTCGTGCTGCCTGTCCAGCCCCGCCTCCAAGGTGTAACGACTCTGCGCTGTAGTGCACACTTTCATCCAGGCCAACACGCTTGTTCCCAGCATTGAGCGCATACGGTTTACTGAACATTGGTTTTGTTGTTTAATATACATTTTTTTGTGTGTTAATTAATTAGGTTCTTCCGTCAGCAGCAGCAGCAGGTTTACACTCCACACTGACAGATTGAGGTCATATAGTAACAATCAGGCTCGGCAAACACTGATGTGTGTGTAGGTACGGCAGGTGTTGCTGGAATAAACTGATGTGGTTTCCTTCAGAGATCAGTGCTGCTACTTTTTCATTGCTCTGATGCAAACTTCTGTTAATTCTTTTGCATGACAGTGAAAACTGAGACGTTTTAAACCTCTAGATAAACGAGAGCATGTTTAGCAGCACGTCCAAGGTAGGAGGGAGAGACTGACAGCAACAGACTGTCCTCTGTGCTCGTGTGAAAGAACTCTGTAGGCTGAAAGGTTTAAGAGTGTAAATCTCATCTATCCTTGGTATGTTCAGTCCACTTCCTGCCCCCACGTGGATGTGGGGTGGCTAATTCTGTAAAGTGAGACTGAACGACATAAACAGCAGAAAATGGTCTCTCGTCTGTTTTCTTTCCAAATGTTAATGTTTCAAATGTGTTATTTTTAGCACAGTGCCGTTTTCAGACTGGTAACAAATCGTGTGATGTGATGTTGCAGTACGTTGGTGCGCTGCTTGAAGCAGACCGGACGGATCTGCTTGGGTCCCCTCCGCCTGTCGACCCTCACCCTCTCTGAGACCCTGCCCACGTTTCCCACCCTGCAGCTGCACTCCACTGCCACCCTGGAGAATGCTCTGACTGGACAAGAGGTTCATGAATGAATTCATTTCATTAGCATCTAAAACGACTTTACAGTTGTTTAGTGTCAGTTTGACAGACACACACACACACACACACACACACACACACAGTTTCTAGGTTCTGGTTGCCTTTCATAAGTAGCGTTAACTTCAGACGAAGCAGCTGCAATGAGCACCAACTTGTCCAGTTTAAAGAAACGTGGCTCATCTTCACTCTTTGCTCTTCACAGGACTGTGTGATTCCTCTGTGCAGTGAGGCTCTGAACTCGTGTAAGCAGCAGGATGCCCAGCTGTTCCTTCATGCCCTCAGATACAGCACATTTCAGAGACAACTCCTCCACAAACTTAAGGGTAACCATCGAGTCCTGTTGTTTCTGAGAGAATTAATCACACCTCACTTTTATTTCAGCAGCATCGAAAAAGAAAAAAACAATTTAATTTATGCGTGCTTCATAAATTGTCAGAGCAGTTCTTCCAAGACAGAAATGAAGCCACTTGCCTGAGCTTGGATTGGAGAAGAAGTCGGTTGGACCTGACGTTACTTTACAAAGTCCCAAATGCAGCTTTGTGCTGCAGACGTACTTCTTGCTGTGCTGAACGTGATCACTGTGCTGCATAGACAAAGGGCCGTGGAAACATGCTGGATGTATTTGTCCATGTAAAGCTCTAACATTTCTCCTCATTCTTGCCTAGGTTACTCCTCCTCCACTGATAGCCACCTGATGGAGCTTTGTCTGACTGCTGTCAAATTTGCCCGTAAAAAAGGCAACATTACACTGGCCTCCCGCCTGCTCAGACAGTTCAGTGACACACAAACACAAGAAGAAGAGCAGGAAGAGCACCTGTGCAAGGCCTTCAGGCGTCTTAATCTTGAAGGCACCCTGGGGGAGAAATGGGGACCAGAGGTGGAGATAGAAAAAGCCAAAGTCCTGAGAGCTGCAGGTGAGGAAACATCTACTTTATTCTACCTTACTCTCCATCGGATGGGAGAAAAGCTCTGTGAACGCACACACACAC